GCCACCGCTGCCCCATGTACCCCGGAGCTGTCCCCATGTACCCCGCAGCTGTCCCCATGTACCCCGCAGCTGTCCCCATGTACCCCGGAGCTGTCCCCATGCACCCCGCAGCTGTCCCCAGGCAGACACAAACTGTCCCCAGGCACATCCCAGCTGTCCCCAAGCGCAAAAGCCACCATCACCACGCAAACCCCCACTGTCCCAGGCACAGCTGCTGCTGTCCCCACACACTCGTCGCTGTCCTCACGCCCACGCTGCCATCCCCAGGCACATGCCCGTGTCCACGTGCCCGCTGTGGGTTTAGGAGGTGGAGTCCCTCTTCATGGCCGTGTCCAAATCCTCCCTCGGCAAACACAGTTCCTGGACCCCTCCCAGTCACTGGAGTTCAGTGTCCAGCCCCGCTCACTCCCACACAGCCCATCCCTGTGCCACCAGTGCTCGCTGGTCACCCGTGTCCCTGGGCAGTGCCACCGGCTGCTGCGGTGCCTGCTCTTGTCCAAGGAGGTGTTTTCCCCGTGCTGGCCACAGCAAGGTTGGGTTTGGCATAAAGGGCATTGTGAGCACCCAGAGCATGGCATGAGGGGCGTCACCCTGCTGCCACTTCCTGATCTCAGCCTGGGGTCCCTGTGTCACCACCCTGGACCCCCAGACTCGGCCACATCCCATCCTGGAAGGGATGACGAGCGATGCCGCCGGAGAGGGGCCACCCGGGAGGCCCTGAGATGAAAGGGAGCACAGGGTGTCATTAGTGCAGGTGACACAGAGCTGGGGAATGGCACCTGTCACCTGCCCCGGCTGCTGCAAAATGCTGCCAGGGGAGAGGGGGGGAAACGGCACCGCCAGGCTGTGGGGACAGGGACACAGCAGCAACGTGGCCCCAGCACTGATGTGGCCCCCCCTTGAATCTCCCCTGGGGTGTCACTGGCTGGGGACATCCCTGTCCCCTGGCAGCATGACCCGTGTGTCCCCAGGCTTCCTGGTGACACCAGGTGCTGTTTTCCTTGGCATGATTTGTGCCTTTACTGCCGTGGCAGGGGATGAACGTCTCAGTGCCACTAATTTGGGCCTGGCAGGGAGCACAGCCACTCCCTTCGCTTTGGGTTTTTGGGCCCCGGGTGACACCTGAGCGCAGCTGCGGGTGGTGGCAGCTCCAGGACACCCTGTCCCATCGCTGCTCCGGCCACTCCTCTCGGGAAAGCTGGGAGCGCTGCCTTGGAGGCCGCTGAGCCTGGAGCCGGTGACTCGGGAGTGATTTCATGGGCTTTTCAAGGGCTCTCGGTCACTCCCCTCCTGCCACCTGCTGCACCCCAGGCTTCGTGCTGGACCACAGAGGGAAACTGAGGCACAGGAAAGCCCGGCTGCTGGCTGGGGCAGTTTCCTGGCCTGCTGCAGAGGCAGCAGATCTCTGACCCTGACGGATGGGGGCTGCGGAAGGGGTGTAAATACCGAGGCACACCCGTGGAAGGTCAAGGTCATCCTGGGGGCCACACTGGGCCCATCCACCTCCAGCCTCAGCACGGCATCAGCTTTGGCAGTGGCTCAGTGGTGACAGCCCAGGCCTGGAGGGATCATTAGTCCTCCCTCATTAAAAAAGGTTACTCACCCTTTGAGACAGAAACAAGAATATCCTGGAAATGCCTCGGTTTGGGGAGCTCTAAAGGCATGACCGAAGCCGGGCTGCAGGTGATGCTCCCCGGCACGTGGGCAGGTGAGTGAGCCGGGCACTGCCCCGAGTCTGGGGTGGGCAGCGTCCGGCACCGCCCTGCTCCCAGCCCTGGAACCGCCGCGGCAAAGCCGCTGCTCTCCCCGGTGAGGATGGAACCACGGCCTGGCTTTGCTCGTTCCTGCCAAACCCTCCTGTTCGGTGTCCCCTGCCCTGGGGACAAACTACACCAGACCCTGCCTGGGACGCAGGGGTGGCACCCACCAAACTGCCACCGCCATGGGCCCCACATCCCCGGCCACCTCATCCTGCCCAGGGACCCCCGGGTCACCCCTGCAGCGGGGTGAGCCAGCCGAGTCCCGCCCCGGGCCAGGGGGACCCCGGGTTCAGGTATTTCGGGCTGGTGAGCACGGCAGGATGGCTGGGGGCTGAGTCACGGCTCCATCTGCAGCCACGGAACATTCCCATCGCAATTCCCCCGAGAGGGGCTCCGGCTGCCCCGGGACACCCCCGGCCCTGCAGGGGGGAATCCTGCCGAGGCTGGAAGGTGGATCCTGGGATTTTTGGGTTCTGGTGCTGCTCCTCCCTCTCTGCAGTCCTGGGATGCTGCTGGGAACCGGCTCCTCTGCGAGGGCTCAGCTCCAGCCTCGGCTCCTGGCGAAACCCAGGAAGAAAAACAGAGCTCCGATGTTCCCCTGGGGATGGAACCTTTCTCCCCGCAAGCCCTGCTGCAGTGCCAGCACCAGGCAGGTGCTGCCCCTTCCTCCCCGGGGACAACACTCCGGGCTCGGGATGGGCAGAGCCATGGTGGGACGGGCCGGCATCCCGGGGCTGTGCAGGGTGATCCATCCCCCGGGAAAGGAACCTTCCCTCGGGTCCCAACGCACCCACACACTGGGGAGCCTGCGCTCTGTTGAGCCTCTGTCTTTGTCTTGCTGGGAAATTAAACGTCCCCCTGGGATGGGGCTGCAGCTGTCCCTGAGCCACTGCAGAAGGGTGAGAGGCAAACTCCATCCCAGCCACCTTGTTCCTCTGGGACGGCTGGGACCGTGTGGCAGCAGCAGGAGTCCGAACAGCTGGAAAAACCCCCACTAAAAATTAACATTAATTTATTAGAATATTTATGATAAAAACCAAGAATTTCTTTACATGTGGGTTTGGTTTTTTTTTTTTCCTTTTTATACAAGAGAATTTCCATTGCTTTTTTTTTTCCTCCTGGAAACAGAGCAGGGCAGCAGGCAGGCGCAGGCAGCGAGGCGGGCGCTCGCCCCGGTGACGGAGCCCCGCGGACGCCAGAGCTGGGGGTCCCAGCGGGATGTGGAGCGGGTGGGAGGTGGGACAGGTGCCCACCAAGGCAGCGGGGCAGAGCGTGGCAAGGCACGGCACAGGGAGAGGGCAGCAGCAAGAGGAGGGGGCGGTGAGCACCCCGCGCTACCCACGGCGAAGGTGGCGCATGGCGGGGGCCGGTTGGCACAGGGTGACAAGGTGACAGAGACAGGACAGCCCCGAGCCCGGGGAGGGCTGCAAGTCACCGGAACACCAGTGAGCCCTCCCAAGCCTCAGGGAAAGACGGGTCCTTCCAGCACCCCCAGCCGCCCCCTCGCTGCCAACCTTCCAGATCCGACATGTCCCCACGCTGGGGGAGCTGGCACTCGGCTCTCCCCCAGCTCCTCTCGGTTGCAGGGGGACAAATCCCCCCTGGCACGCCCCAGGCCCTGTCTTTGGTTAAGGAGCAGCCACTGCCACGCTGGCACAGGGCAAGGGGCCGAGGCTGGCGGAGGGTCCCCATGGGGACAGGTGACAGCAGTTCCAGGAGGGATGGAGAGGCTGCTCAAAGCGAGGGGGTCCCAGCTCCCCCCCTGCATGGCTCTAGAATATTTATTTGAGAAGGCCTGGCATGAAATGTGAGGCCAGGAGGGAGGACCCCAGGCACAGCCGGTCCCACAGGGAGGTTGCCAAGGCAAGGAGCAGCGGCACAGCCCGAGGTGCCTGGGAGGGTGCAGGGGGAGCTGCGTGTGCCGGGTGACAGCTCCTGCTGGCCCATCTCTCCGCTCCGGAGCAAGGCAGGGGTGGTCACGCACGAGGGAGAGGGGAAGCTGTGCCATGGGGACTGTGGACACCCCTGGTCAGAGCCGGCCACAGGTCCTGAGTGGGTGGGCACCTCTGGGAGAGCCCCCTGGGGGCTGAGAGGCACCTGCAAATCCCAATCCCGGGCGGAAAATTGTCCATCGCCCCCAGGCCACGCTGCCCAAGGAGCCCAGGGCATCCCAGGGCTCCTTCCCTGCTCGCTGGGGCCAGCCCAGGGCTCGCTGGGCAGAGCTGTCCTGGCAATCCCAGTCCATCCAGGACAGTCTCCCCTTCCTGAACCCGGTGTGTAGTGACAAGAAACCAAAAAGGAGAGCAAAGAACGAACGAATGAAGAGAGAGAGAAACGATTTGGAGGCTTTGTGCCAGCAGCTACTGCCCCTTGGGGATGAAGGGCTCCCCCTCCTCGGGCTCGGGCCGCGGGCCGGGGTCGCTCAGGCACCGCAGCATGCGCTGGTTGCTGGGGCTGTCGCTGGCCCCCGGGGTGAAGACGTCGTCAGTCCCCGGGGAGGAAGGCTCCTTCACCCGCATCACCAGCCCCTCCTCATCCTCCTCGGGAGAGGGTGGGAGGCCACTGCAGCCCTTGGGCTCCTCGCTCATCAGGTCCACGGACTCCGGGGACTGCGGTGAGGCTGGGTCGATGGTGATGATGGGCAGGTTCTCCGAGTCCTCCTTGGGCTCGTAGGCCAGCGGGTCTGGGAGGCACAGAGGGGTCAGCCAGGGAAGAGGGGTCTCAGGGACCCCCGGGGATGCACCCCAGATGTTTGTTTGGGGCTGGGCTGCCCGGGCTGTCTCGCTGATTTCCAGTTCAGCGGTGTAATTCCTTTTCCCTATTCCCACATGCCAGCTGGAGCTGCCGACAGCCCGGCTCCTGGGAAGGGCGAAGCTGCCCTCTGCTGATGAGCCGCCGGCTCCGCAGCCGCGTCACAGCCGACAGCCTGTCCCCGGAGCGGGAGGGGACACCCGGGACACGAGGAACCGAGGGCGTCAAAGCAAATGTGTGATGGACAAACTGGGAATCCACTGGCAACGGGCCTTGGGGCTAAAGGCTCCTGATCCCCTTCCCCGGGGAGGGCTGGGAGGGGCACGGGCAGAGTCGTGGCTGCGTGGATGGAGCGAGCTGAGCTCCGGAGAGACTGCCCAACCTGACTTCCCAGTGGGAATTGTGCTGGGAAGACAGCTGGGTGCTCCTGCTGAGAGCAGCAACCCTCTGGGGCTTGGCTGGATGGGTGTGGGATGCTCGGGGCTGGAGAGCCACAGGGAGCTGAGGAGGTGCAGGACAGCACAAGCTCCAAGTGCTCCGGGTGCCGACAATGCCGCTCCTCGTGCAGCTCCTTCCCACCTACCTGAGCCGATGCGAGCCCGGGACATGGTGGGCGAGTCCACCCTGTGTGCTGGCACCGTCAGGTAATTGTTCATCTGCAACGGGAGCAAGGCATCGTCATGGCACGGCCAGGGCAGGGGGCAGGGAGGCAGGGAACCGGCCACAGGAGACAAGGGAGCAGCAGTGGGATGCAGAGGACACAGGCACAGATCCTCCCAGGCACGCTCCAGGGACTTGCTTAGAGCCGGGGGCAATCACAGGACCCCCAAGGCTTGGGGTCACCCTCTGTCATCCGAACCTCAGCCCCCTCCCTGTGTCTTGCCAGGCTTGGAAGTCCCCCTGGCCCCCGTCCTGCCCAGCCCTGGCAGCATCCCCGCCCTGGTGTTCCCCCAGCACCTTCTGCTCCAGCTGCCGGGCCTTCTGCCTCCGCAGCAGCATCTGGTTCCAGGCTTCCTCGTAGGGGTCGGCCACCAGCGTGTGCCGGTTGTAGGATCGCAGCTGGGAAGAGATGCCAAGAAAAGGGGATGGGTTAAAAATCAAACATGGAAAGGGAAAGAAAAGTCACAGCCCCGTTCTTCCTGGAGATGGATGAAACAGCCACCAGTGGGCAGAGCAGGCCCTTGTGTGGCCTTTGTGTGCCACCACCGGGTGTCTGATCCTCACCCACCCTGGCCCAATGAGGGTTTAAAGGTTGGGCTCAGCCACTGCCCAAATCAACCTCCCCCTCAGACTGTCCCAGCACCATCCCAGGAGGAAAAGCCTCCTGGGAAAGAGTCAGGCCAGGAGCACAGGGCACAGCAGGGACAGAAGGGGTGAAGGGCCCAGCTGAGGGTGTCTGGTGGGCAGTGTCCCTGCCACACCCAGGGAGCTGAAGGGGACACACACACTGCCAGGGGACACCTCACCCTCTGCCTGGTTTTCTGCAGGTTAGTGCGGAGGATTTTCCGGATCTCCTCCTCCTTGTCCTTGGACAGGGCTGGAAGGACGCGCTCCAAAGGAAGGCTCTGGGGGTTGATGTTCCTGCAGGGACAGACAGGATTCAGAGCCACACCACACAGCACCCAAGGGCTGCTTGCCCTGTGGCCAGCGGCAAGGAGCACTCAGGGTGCCATGGGAGGGTGCCCAGGGCAGGGAACTCACTGGATGGAGACGGTGGAGACGGCAGAGGGGATCTTGCCGATGCCCCCACTCTCCACCAGCTCAATTGCCTGCTTCATCTCCATCTTGTGGTAGAAGGCGATGAGCTGGGGCTCCTTGGAGCGCTCCCCCGCGATCAGGCACTTCTTCACGTACTTCTTGTTGAAGCGGTTCAGTCTTCCCGGGAATGAGGGACAGGAGGAGCAGCCACAGGTCAGCCCTGGCCCTGCCCTGGTCCCCACTCCTCAGCCCTGCCCAGGACACCACTGCTGCGGTCAGTGCTGGGCCCAGTTCAACCAGCATGGCTCAGGCCAGGCTTCCCTGAATCCCTCCCAAGACAGGGTGTCTCCACAACACCCAGCACCTGCTGGTTCCCACTGGGGATGGTCCTGAGCTCCAGCAGGGACTGGCCACTGGCAGCTCCCACCCTGCCATGGGCCTGCTGTGGGTGGTGTGGCCAAGGGGTGCAGCCCTGCAGCCCCACCTGCTCCCAGTCCAGGGCCGTAATTCCCCACGGTGAGTGTGGATATTAAAGCCCAGGGAAAAGCCTGTCACGGAGCTGTGGAACCTTCTGGGTGGTGACTGAAACCCTTCCCCGGCCACCAAACCTCCCCACTCACTTGTCCTTCCAGTGGTGATGCCCGTAGTGACCACAGATATCCTCAATCCCTGTCAGAAGGTGATCCAAGAACTGGAAGAGATGGTCCAAGGCGTGAGCAGCTCGGAGGGCTCTTGCCCACCCTCTCCATCCCCTGACACCCACACTGACACATGGGGAGGGCACTCAGGGTGTGTAAAACCAGGGCTGTGGGTCCAGGATGGGCTTTGGGAGGGCAGGATGGACCCACACAACCGGGCTTGGCTCTGCAGGCACTGGGGGGTCTGGGTCAGAGCTGGCACTGGACGACACAGACAGGGGAGAGCCCTCGCTCTGTCCCCCCTTACCTTGGGCACTGATTTAGGGGCAGGTCCCAGTGAGAGTGGTGGAGTGGCAGAAGCAGAGAGAGCAGAGGGCTAAGGCAGCGCGCGGGGCGGCCGGAGCAGCGCGTTACCTGCGTGTGGATCTCCTCGTTGATGGAGCGCTTTGTCTCCTGCTTCTTTTTCACAGCCAGCAGATCCACCAAGGGCCGGATGGTCATGCCCTGGGGAGGGGGAGGGGGGTCACACCTCAGCCCAAGGCACAGTGCTGGGAGTGGGATGGGCTCAGCAAAGCCAAATTGCTGTTGGTGTCACTGTGCAGCGTTTTGGGGATACGGGACGGTGACAGGGTCAGGGATGGAGGCTGGGGATGGGCTCCCCACTCTCCACACGGCCATGAAGAGCCCCTTTCCCTCTGAGAGCCACCAACCTGCACAAAAACGGTGAAGAAGATGACAGTGATGATGGCTGTGAGGAACATGTCCCTCATGCCGAAGTGTTTGTAGTCCAGCAGGTACCCGAGGGAGAAGGCGATGGCTCCCCGCAGGCCCCCGTAGGCGATGATGAACTGGTCCTTCGGCGTCAGCTTCACGATTCGGAACTTGTTGATGAACCAGGTGAGGACAAGGACGCCTGGAGGAGCAGCACAGTCCTGTGTGAATGGTCAAGGATCCCCTCCAGTCCCAAAGAGCCCACCCTGCAGCCCCTCAGGGCCATGGGTGCAGGTGAGAGCTGTCTGCCCATCCCAACATCCCTGAGCAGCTTCCACCCCGTGCCTGGTACAACCACGGCCTTAGCCCCATCGCCCCACAGCACCCACCACCAGCATGATGCCCGTGGTGGAGCAGTGCCACCCAGTCATCTCCAGCCTCCCCAGCAAACCATCCTGGTCCTGAGAGTTCACCATGACCCACATGGCCACTCAAAGCCAGGCTGGACAGGGACTGGAGCAACCTGGTATGGTGGAAAGTGTTCCTGCCCATGGCAGCTGGAACGAGATGGGCTTTAAGGTCCCTTCCAACCCAAACCATGCCATGATTCTTTCACCACCCCGAGGACCTTGCCACCACACTGACACCTCACCCAGCACTCTGGCGATGAGGCAGAAGAACAGCGTGCTGATGACGAAGGTCCAGTTCCAGTAGTGGTGACCAGCCACGGTGGAGACACCCAGGAAGATGAAGATGAGGGTCTCGCTCACACTGCTCCACATCTTGAGGAAATACTTGATGGTGGTATGGGACTTGTGGGAGATGTTGGCTTCCACATAGGGCCGCATGACCACGCCGGCAGCGATGAGCCTGGGGGTGAGGTTGGGGCCCTCAGCAGCCATGGGGGCACGGGGACAGTGCCAAGCCCTGGCCCTGCAGCAGCATTTTGTGCTCTGACATCAAACTCCAGGGCAGGACAGGCCTTGTGAACCACCAGCAAATATTCAAGGCCTCCAGAGAAGGCAACACGAGGTTTCTCCTTCCCCTGGCAGGGCAGGAGTGAGCACTGGAGCACAAACCCACATGGTCCTGAGTGCTCAGCAGGCCCTGCCTGCTCCTGTGTGCCTGGGAGAATGGGAACAGCCCGCCAGCACCCTGGGATATGAGGGACAACTCCCGAGACTTCTCCTGTGTGCCTCCTTGCATATCCCAGCCCAAACACCACTGGGCCTCATTGGGCACGTGCTGACCACGCTGGGCCAGCCAGACCATGGTGACAGCCAGGAAATCCTCCCCCAGGTCCTGGGGACAGGAGCAGCTCCTCCCCCAGTGCCAACTCACGCCATGATGCCGGAGAGGTGGAAGAGCTCGGCTGACAGATAGGCCATGTAGCTGTAGAGGAACACGAAGAGGGGCTCGATGACGCGGATGTGCGAGGTGAAGCGGGACGTGAAGGCAGCGATCACCCCGTAAATGACGCCCACCAGGACCCCGCCCAGAGACACCACGAAGAAGCTGAAGAAGCCGAGGATGATGTCGAGGATGGTCACCTGCTCGAAGCTGGCAAACTCCTCAAAGAGGTGGTAGAGGACCTGGCAGGGAGAAAGGAGAGCAGGGCTCAAACTGTCCCTCTGGAAAGAGACCCCCTCAGAGGAGACCTGCACAGGGCCCTCCCCTGGGAGTGCAGCACACCTGGGCTGAGCTGTGCCAGTGCTTGGTGACCCCCAGCTGGGTCCTGAGCTTGACCAAGGCTCACACCAAAACCAGCTGCTGGTGCTTTGCTGTGGCAGACACAGACCCAGGGGGAGCAGCTCCCTGTGCTCTGTGGCCACAGGGACACGGTGCCACCAAAGATGTGTCTGGCACAGCTCTGCTCTCCAGCTGCCCCAGGAGGGCCTTTGGTGACCAGCCAGAGGCTGTTCCTGTTTTCCCAACGAGCATGTCAGGACAGACCCAGGCTGGGGCACTCCTGACAGATGCACAGAGAGAAAAGCCACCATCTGCCCTGCACAGCCCAGAGAAGAGCCCAAACCCTTGAGGCAGCTTCTGCAGCTGAGGGAAACCTGAAGGAATGACTCTGGGCTGTGTTGCCTTCTCACAGCCCCAGGCACTGCAGAGATGTTAAAGCACGTGTCAGGATGGGGAACAGGATTTAGGGCACCCTGCAGGAACAGCAGCACTTGCAGCAGGGAGAGGGCGAGCTGCCAGCTCCTGCCTGCCGCTGCCAGGCCCTGGGTGGGACAGGGGCAGACAAAAGCATTCCCCAGGGATGAGAGTGGGGACACAGACCCTGCAGGCACCCTTCTGCTGAAAAATGGGGGAGAAGCGCCTGGGAAGAGCCCCATGGTAGGACAGAGTGTTCTTTGTCATCAGGAACCTTGTCAGCAGGGGCTGAGCAGCCAGCTCCAAAATGGACAGCTGGGATATGGGAAAAGAGCCAGGAAAAAGCAGTGGGTTAGAAGTCAATTTAGAGGTCAGCTCTGCAGAGAGGAGAAGGCCATGCTGATGGCTAATCCAGCACCTGGACAGTGATGTCCTCTGGAAAGGGAGGAGGCCTGGCCCCACCTCCCAGAGGTCCCTGCAAAGCTTGGAATGGGGCTGGTGATCCAGGTGGGATGCCAGCCTGGCTTCAGCCCCTCCAGTTCTCCCCTTTGCCATGGCTGATGTCCTGGCCTCCCACCTCCTGGGAGCTGAAGGACAGCAAGGGTGAGCACGTGAAAGCAGACAGATGGAGCAGCAGCTGCATGGCAGCACTGCCTGAGCCAGTGTCAGACCCTCACGCTTCCCCTGGCAGGACGGGCACAGGCACAGCAGCAATTCCAGCCAGGAGAGCAGATCCCCGGAGCCCGTGGCATCAGGAGGCTGACAGGGCACGTGCCCCCAGCCTCCCCAGCCCACCAAGTGGAACACTTCACCTCAACCCACCTCTGCGGTGTTCTAACCCTCTACTACCTGCACCAGGTTTGGTCTGGTGGAGCTGCCAGGAGGCACAGGGCAGCTTGGAACAGCCCTGCCAGCTGCCACCCCACTGCCCTGAGACGCTCCTGCCCCAAAGCAAACCCCGCTCCCGGGCGGTCACTCACGACAGTGACGGCGTCGTTGAGCAGGGACTCCCCGAAGACCAGGATGTGCAGCAGCTCGTTGATGTGGATCTCCTCGAACACGGCCAGCACGGCCACGGGGTCCACGGCCGAGATGATGCTGCCGAAGAGCAGGTTGGCCAGCAGCCCGATGTGGTTGAGGCCAGGCCCGCCGAGCTGGCACACGGCATACATGAGCCCCCCCAGGAAAAAGGCGTTCCAGAGCGTCCCCACCACGGCGAAGATGAGGATGGTGCCCAGATTCTCGGTGAATGGGCGCAAGGGCAGGAAGTAGCCGGCATCCAGGATGATGGGGGGGAGGAGGAAGAGGAAGAAGATATCCGACTTGAGGATGGGGGGCTTTTCACCCACCCCTTTGATGAGCCCCCCCACCAGAAGGCCCACCACGATGAGCAGGCAGCTCTCAGGAACGATGCTGGACACTGACGGGATCACGTGGAAGCCTGGAGAGAAGGACAGACGAAGACACATGTTGGCTACAGGAATGGAGGGTGCTGTCTGCAGGGGGACACCCCTGCCAGAGTCAGGGACCAGCTCCCAGCCCTCCCTGCACTCCTTGTGATCTGTCACTACTTGTGTGCCTTAGTTTCCCTTCCTGCCCTGCTCTGTCAAGTGGAAACTGCAGCTCAACCAGGCCCTGGCACTGCTGGTCTCAGGCCAGACCCCTGAGAGTCCCAGCAGCAGGTGACAGCCACCCTTGGGACACACCAGGGTGTCTCTGTGGACCCCAGCCCTGTGGCACAGGCAGCTCTCTCCACATGAGCTGTCCCTGGCACACGAGGCAGTGGCATTTCTCTCCCATCAGACAGCAGCCTGCCCTCCCAGTGCCACCCTTCCCAGTGCCAGGCACAGCGCCCATCCCTGGGCGTCCCTCACGCACAGCACAGGCAGGGCAGCTGCTGCTCGCTGGATTTCAGGATGCAATTCTCCTTCCTGGAGGTTTTACATGGTGCCTGCAGCAGGGACAGGATGCATCCTTGGGGTGCAAGGTAACAGGGAACACATTTCCCCCTTTTCTAGCCACAGCACAGCTCCAAATGCAGGTCTCTGAGCCAGCCGTGACCCGCTGGGATGACATTCCCGCCCCAGCCGGGCATCTGCCAGCACACCAACACCCACAGAAGGATTTTGGGTTCCCTGGATCTTCTCCCAGCCTTTATAATTATTATTTTGAAGTGAGGCATATTTGTTCCCTGGCAAGGGAAGCAGTTTAAAATAAGGAACCCTGCCTCGGCATGCCGTGTTCCTCCGTTCCTTCCGGCCATGCCATCTGCAGCAATTCCTCAACAGATTAAATCCCCTCCAGAACGAGCCAGTTCCCCCCGAGCCCGCAGGGGCCACACCTGCGCCACGGCCGGCCCATCCCTCCTCTACCTGTGCAGAGCTCCCAAGGGAGAGGCCACACTGCCACAGTCCCTCCCGAAGGACTCTGGCCCCAGATCCCACCTGAGCTGCGAGCACGGCTCCAGCACGGGCGAGCCCGGAGGACTCATCACACCCCAGGCTCTGGGAACCATTCCAGCTGCTCCAGAGGGTCCCTGGTGCTGGAGTGGTGCTGGGAGGAGTCTGGCTCCTACCTTGGCTTCACCACAGCAGCAGCAATCCCAAGCAAACAGCTCGATGGCTTGGGCACAGGCACAAGGAGAGGTCGGGAGGAGATGGGAACATCCAAACTCTCTCCCAACACCTGCATTCGGGGACTTCCCAGCCTGGATGCGCTTCCTCATTTACCCACATGGGATTTTTCTTCTTGTTTGGATCCCCTGGAGCCCGCACAAGCTCTGAGCACCCCAAGGCAGCCCTGGCACGGAGCTCCCCGTGGGAGGGAAGGTGATAATCCCTTTTCTGTGCACAGCCCATGCAAACACCGGGAACCACTGACCCTTCCAGCACACCAGGCAATTTCTGGCTGGAATAAGGCTTAAAGCCACACAAGCAGCGAGAAGCCAACAGCAGATCAGTTTTTGCTTGCTAAGTATGTTCAATCATGAATAAAATACAAACACTGACAATTAAGCATCTCTCACTTCTTCCCCACAGGCCCCAGGATTCCATTAAACTGGAACATTCGTGTGCTGATGGGAATTCAATGGTTTACAGCTTTTTTGTAGGGCCCTAAAAATACACTTACATGGGCTGCATTTTAATTATGCCTTTAATTTCACTGAATCTCAGCCATTTTTTGCTCCCTGCTTGCTCTGTGGAGTATTTTTAGAGCATTCCAGAGCTCATTGGTACCAATCCGTTGGTGGGATCCTGCTCTGAGTGCTGAGCCAGTATCCCACTTTGGGATGGGGGTGATGGGAAGGAACGTCCTCACTGTGGGGATGAGGCCAGGCAGGGGTGAACAGCTTTGATCCCAGCCCTGTGCCTGGAGCTCCCTGCTGGAAGATGAGGAAGGCTGTGGCAGGATGCTGGGAGATGAGGATGCCCAGCCACAGGCACATACAGGGGCAGCAGAAAGGGGAATAACCCTTGATAATGGCTTTAAAGATGATGATAATAAAAAAAAATATTAAAAATAATAATAATATGACCCCAAATCCCTAAATTCCCAGCAAGGGGCACAGTCACCCAAGCTTCTTCCTTTGGAAAACAAACTCCATAGGAGCAGCTCCCTCTCACCAGCATCAAACACCAGCACAGCCATTAAAAGTGAGACAGTTGAGTTAAACACACACTCAAGGGCTTGAGCAAACACAGAAAAGAAAATCCAAGAGATAATAATTCTTATTAAAACAGTTCTTGCCCACATCACGCAGCCAGCTCCCAGCAAGGCACACACAGGGATCACTCCACTGGTGCTCAGTAATTCCTTCAGTTGAGGCAGAAAGGAATTAGGGATGGGAATCCCAGTTTTCACTACAGTCCAAGCACTTGAAAATCTTGAGGAAATCCCATCCTTCAAATTAAAGAGATTTTGGGCAGGGAAAGCTGGTGCTGACAAAGTTTGTTCTGAGGAGGAGGGAAGAAAACCCATTTGGTTGGTGTTTAGAGCTGGAGCTGGGGAAGGAGGGAGGGGGAAGGAGCACACAGCACGGCTGGAAGAGCTCGGCACGCTCACGGTTAAGCCGGATGCTCCTGAGGTTTCACCCCAGATTCCCAAGCACCCACGCAGGGACACGGCCTTGGGAAAGGCAGGATGCTCCCAGCAGGATGCCTGTCAGGCAAGAGGAGGTGTGAGAAAGGAGCGTGGTTACACAAACTCCCCATCCTCCCAGGCTTCCCAGGCTTATTGCAGCAGCTGCAGGCTGCAGCAGGCAGGCACAGAGGAATCTCTCAATTATTAACCAGGGTTAGGAGCTCTCCCAGCCCCAGGGCTTTGCTCGGGAAGGAGGTGGTAGATGGAGGGGCAGTCTGGGTGAGGGGGTGGTGAAGCCCCTGGGGTGATGCTGTCTGCAGCCCTGGGGACCCGGCTGCTGCCTGGGGCTGCAGGGAGGCTCCAGGTGTGGAGCTGGGGAGCCCTGGGAGAGGGAGCAGGGTGTGGGAAGGAGGGCGAGGGGAGCAGGCATGCTCAGAAGGGCTGCCCTTCTGAAGGACACTGCAGAGAGCAGGGCTGGAGGAGACACACGAGCCTGACAGCACCAGGGCCCTCCAAAGGCCACTTTAACCCTTAAGGACAGCAGGCTGGCAGGGGCTGGGCGGGCCCCAACAAGGGCAGCAGCAATCCCAGGGTGAGGGATGCAGGCAGGTGTGGATGCCTTCCCACATTCCCAAGTGACACAGGCACCACCAAGAGCTCCACATGTTGACACTTTGCTGGCTGAACCCCAAAATCAGAGATGTGTCACCAGCCCTGGGGACAAGCGATCCACAAAGCCATGACTCAGCACCATCCCCTTCCTTCTCGTGTTGGAGGGAAGGAGGGCTGGGCTGGGCTCCAGGGTTTGCAGAGCTCCAAGCCCCTGGGATCTGGCATTCCCTGGGATCTGGCATTCCCACACTGTGTTTTGGGAGGATGGGGTAAGACCCCAGCAGGGTTAAAGCCCTGTGAGGATGGCGATGCAGTGACAGAACATTTTGCAACGGGCACCCACGGGAGAATCCATCCCAGTCCTCCAGAGATTGGCTGCAGCTTCTTTCCATTTATCCTGTGCCCTCAGAAAAAGCCCACACTGGACTTCTCCTGCCTGAAGATCAGCCGGGCTCTCTCTGCAGGGCCATCGGGGGATGAAGGGATGTCTCAGCCCTGCTGTGCTTCTCCCTTGGAAAATGGAGCCAGATCCAGCGGCTCCCTGCAAAGACAGGGAACAAGGAGAACGGAGAGAGCTGCACCAGATGTAACGGGGAAGCCTCGAGGGAAGGGGAGGAAAATTGAACTTGCTCAAAAGGAATTAAATAGCTGGTGATTTACACCTATAAATAGAGTGAGGGCACGGCTCGTGTCACCCTGCCAGGAGAGGGGGTAAAACCGCTGCACTTAAATTACATTCACTGCCTCTCACAAGCTCCTACCTCACCACATGTCCTGAAATTCCAGCCCCACAGAGCTCCAGCCTGGCTAATTCCCACAGCCATCCCACTGGGAGGGCGCATGTGGGGCCATGACGCAGGTTGGGCTTTGCCAAACCCTTTTCTGTTTCACCAGGGAGGGCAGGGTTTGAATGCAGGTCCAGGTCACCCCAGTGCTCCCCTGCCGCTCTTTTTGGGTTGGTTTCAGCTTGGGTTGATTTGGGAAACCTTTTAAGCACCCAGTGGCTTCAATGTCCAAAGCGGAAAAGCGTTGATTTTCCACCCCAAAATGCCATTTCCTGGTGAGAAGCTGACTTCTTGTTTTTTTGTGTTAAGACACAGGTACAGAAAGTGCTTCTTAGCAAAACAATTTCCTCCAGAACAAACCAAATGTTTCATTCAAGCCTCATTATTTTGTTGTCGCTAATTACGAAGCAAAGCCAAGAACCAGGAAAGTAATTAATTTATGCTGCTTTTTGTGAGTCACTGAGTGAATGCAGATCCCACACAAGGGCCGCAGAGCCGCCCTCCAAACCTCGCCATGGGCACAGCAGCCAAAGCCAGCACAGGGAGAAGGGGAAAGCAAAACATCCAGCCCTGATTTTGGGGTCACTCCTGCACCCCAAACTCGGGTGGGCAGGGGCTGCAGCCAGGCTGGTGCTCAGGACTGGGTTAAAACCCATCAGCATCCAGCACTGCCACACAGCCTCCAGGCATTTTCAGGAGTCAGGATCAACCTCACCCATGTGGGATGGGATGAAGCCCTGGGCTGGTCCTCCCAGGGTCTGCCTACCCAAGGTGCCCAGCACAGCCTGGCCGTGACCCTGAGCAGCTGGACTGCACAAAGTGTCCCCAAAAGCCACGCTGTCACAGTCAGTAGCCATTAGGACCCCCTGCCAGATGAGGAAGGGACAGTTTTATTTTCCCTTGGTGTGACATTATGACCTCTGTGCCTACAGACCTTGCCCACCCAGCTTAGCCCCACCTCACA